CTTACCAGTCAGTTCACATGACCATACTAGTGAATTACATAAAATAATTCCTTCCACATATTGCCTGAATAGATAAAATATAAAAAATTAATAAATCTTTACATTAAAACCACTTTAGATAATAGAACATACACTAGTAAAATTACTAGGTTAAAAATGATAATTCAAGGGACCTACATAAACATGTAAACATACCTACTACCAAAGTATTTATCACAATTGTAAATCAACTTAAAAAAAAGGCACTAATAAAAAACAAATTCAACTATCAAGATAAAAAATGTACTTAAGTCCACACAAATTTACATTTGATTTTAGAGGTATGTTAATTTTATTTTGTCACATATTATTATAATATAATTAAGTCTTAGGTTGTCTTTATTCGGAATGTAAGGCATAGAGTAAAAATGTTATTATTTAAAATGTATTTTAAATATATATTTTGAATGCCGGTAAACGAATGTGATGTCTACCAAAATTCAGTTAACATAACACATATGTAAGGTCATAAAAATATAATTTATCTATATTTATCTATATTTTATACCTACTATAATACCTATTATTATACCTATTACCTATGCGCTGGTGATATTACCAGCATAAAGCTAACCATTAACTTTAAAATGATAAATACTAAATTGTTTGAATGTCTTGAAAAAAAATAAGATATGCCTCACAAAAGTGAAAGTGGAAAAGGAGTTAACATCGAATACTATATTTTAATGCATACAAATTTCGCAGGTTAACGTAATAGTGCGATGAATATGGCATTTTTTTGCAAAATACTAGTGGACGATGCAAGATATTGTTCAAAACAAATCAATATTTTATTATACATTTGAAAAAAATGATAAATTGACACAATTAAAAAAATCATAAGTAAGTAAAACACAGTTAATGACAACTTTAACTTAATCAAATTTAGGAGATAATAAAATAATATCAGAAAGTCATAAAATGTATATATTTGTGTAAATATATATACATTATATATATATATCTTATCTTATATATAAAATTATCGTGTCAAAATGTTCGTTCCCATACTCCGAGACGGCTTGATCGATTCTCATGAAATTTTATATGCATATTCAGTAGGTCTGAGAATCGGCTATCTAAGTTTGTATGCTCTGCGATAAGTGGTTCCGGAGTTATGGCCTCTTAAGTCAAAGTATACTAGCACGCACGATATTCAACAATTATTATTTTGCCATGGAGAGATAATATACACTCTATGTGGTTATTTTTTATTATTGGTTTCCGTGGCACCCGCGTGCCAATAACAATTGAGAACGGCTGGGCCGATTTGGCTAATTTTGCTAACCTAACCTAACCTATGTACGTGTGTTTTGCACATATTTCAATGCCAACAAAACGCAAAGGGGCTGATTTGAACTGTAATACAAGTAATACAAGCAATTAGCTATTATACGGTACACGCGCTTTCCCGCTGTCGAGCGTCCCCNACCAGGCTGTAATCACACGTACTAATGAAAGTCAAGAGCAACGCAATGAACGCCGTCGAGCTAATGCATTGAGACAGACTGGCCTGTCAACGAGTCACCGACACATTATAAAATAAAACTATTATAATTTTTATTATCACTATTATTTACACTATTCAAATATCACAATAGAACACATTTAGGCCGCCGCAGGTGGACTACCCACTTTCCACCTATTTGTTTTCATTCAATTCTAACATGGCCATTCTAAAACCAAAAATGAATATGGGTAAAATAATAATAATACAAATTGGCACGGGCAACGCCGGGCGCGGGACAACTAGTATATATATATATATTTTGAACATAGTACTTTAAATCCTTTAGTTCCAAATTAAAAATTGTATTCAGATATAGTTAAAATGTATATTAGTTAGTTTTGTGTCAATTATCAATATTATAATAAGAAATTAAGAGATATCATTTAATAATATTGAAACAATTCATGAATTGAAATCTGTTAGATAAAATATTTTCCATTTCGTAATACAAAATATTTCTAATATAAATATGTTTAAATTCATTAACTTAAATACACATTTTTCAAATGATTATTTTATCAACAATAATAATACTTTAATCCATGAAATTAGCATTTATCACTTCTATTAAAACTTTTAAAATATGTATAATAAAACAATTGATTGCCAATTTTCTTAATTTTAAAAATATAATTTAAATAATACGCGGTTTTTCTTGTTGTAATTCTTTTTTAAGTTCATTTTCTCTTAATCCTCTACAATTTCAATTATCAAATAAATTGTCCAATTCATCAGGAGTATTAAAATAACCTCATTCACTTCTATTTTGATATTTTTCATGTATCCATCACTGGTTATCAGGACCAAAACAACACAAGAGCAATATTTTTTTCTTAAAGGTGTCTCATTATTCGTAAATGAGAGCATTAAACGGTATTTCTTTTTTGATAGAGTACTGGACAATAACTACTTCTTGATTCACCAATATTTTCTTTCTCATTCATTTCAAATAATCTTTTGATATATATAGCAGGATATTTTTCAAATAAATTTCTATAAAAAAAATTAAATATTATTATTTTTATCATTATATATATATTTTCAAATCCTCAACATTACACATTAATATTAAATAAATTATTAATAATTTTTAAAACAAACAAGAGGAATAAATAAATTAAATTTGTACAAAATGGTAAAGCTATAAACTTGGAAGATATTAATAAGTAATTAATTACTTAGGTAAGTAAGTTCCAGGATAGTGTGTTCATAATCTTCAATAAGTCCAAACAACATAGAAGAAAAAATCAATGTTTTCTAAAAGCTCAATTCATACCAAGGTAATATTTAAGCAGTCATGCTTGAATCAGTCACTTCAATAAACGTTTTGTCAAATTTATTTAATCTATTATTAATGACCTTTTCTTCATTCTCTATGTTTTGAGTTTCCCCATTTAATAATTTAATTTCTTTTTTTTATAAAAAAAACAATTTAACCAAATAAAAAACATTCAACATTTTCTGTATGAAATTTACTTCTGAACAACTTCAAGGGTTATTCTCTTTTCAGTAGCTATTGTAATTTTTACTTCTATTTTGTCATTTCTAGATTTAATAACTGTATAACATATTTAGTATGTAATTAAATTAAGGTACTTCTAAATGTTCGATTTTAAAAATCTAAAGAGTTGGTAAAAAAGTTTAATTTGTAATGATTGACGCAGATTTTTAATATTTAAAAATATATTTAGTATTAAAAATTAACAAATTAATAAAATGTATGTTTATTCTCGTCAAGAATTTGAAAAAACTGAAAAGAGTGCTCCACCAGTGCAAAGTAAACATGTTTACCAACTCAAAAATCTTTAAATTTTTAAAACCGAACTACTAGAAGTACGTTAATTTTTTTAACCACATAGCTATTTCATATTTATTTGGTTTTGAATATTTTGAATGACATCTGCGTGTGCATACCGACCTTTACCCATACCAATCTTTGCTACACTGAAAATCTAAAAAATGATGTCAAATAATATATTGATTATATCTATCATATCTTATAAACTTGTTACTAATACTACTCATTATATACTTCTAGACCAATGACTATGCCAAATGCCAATGTAAGCCCACTTCTCTCGGGAGAGGGGGGAAATCCCACCTCAAAACATTTCTGATTAATTACGGACTAAATAAGAATTGCATAAGATGAGGAAAATGATGTACAGTGTGTTTATCCGTGTATTTTGTACTACATCCAATCACGATTAAATTAAACAATTCTTCTTATCACGAATCATCAACTCAGTGAGTCAACTCTGAAGTTTCCAGTTCATTTCATAATGGCCCGGTTTTTCAATCACATTTATTCGTCTATAACACAAGTTATTTGACAGATAAGAAAAAATTGATAATTGTCGGTTTTCCATATCGGAGTAAACTAGTAAAGCTATTTGATGAATAAAGTGCAGAATAACTTATTATATAGTTATTACTATATATTTTCTACCAAATAATAATCTATGTGACGAATAAGTATATATCATATTTTAAGCGGACATTTGTGACATCTTTGGGCCAAAATATAAGTTAGGTTTCCAATTACCCTGTTATTCAAAACAATGTGTATTTTATTTAGTTTATACCTAGTTGGTACTTACACAGCATTTAGTACTTGAATTGAAGCCGTGCAATTTTTTGCCAGCAATTATTTTTATTTTTAAATTGTTTTCCAAAATATTTCTATTTGATAATGCATGCTTCAATAAACAAAATAATTGTCGTTTTAATCCTCTTCGATGCCATTGTTCATTACAATGTATGATATATTAATACAATATGTTTATATTTGAATTTTTGGTTGTTTTAGGCAAAACCATTACCTACTTTTGATTTTCATGGCAACAAATTGAATGGAAACAAAAATTCCATAAATAATACTTTATTTAAAATACATTTTAGTGCTGGAATCCATTAACAAGCAGAATCACTTTTGAGTTGGAGGAGAATATAGTGATCAATGGAACTTTGTGGTTACGTAAATGATATTCAATTGATAAGGCGATAAGGTGATAAGACTCGCGGCATGTTAATAAAACCCCACTACTCGCCCAACAAGAACTTAAAAAACTTTTAAAATTGGTTGCCATTTGAAAATCAAAAGTAGATTTTAAGGTTTTACACCCAAAATTAAGGGTAACAATAAAATGATATAAATTTAAAATTGTAGAACAGCTGGTTTCACAAATATTCTAGAAATCAAATTCCGGATAAAGTTAATACATTCCGAGATAACGAGTAAATTACAGATGATTGATTATTATGTGTCTAGTGTATTTTCATTCCCCTTCCAAACGTAAAATCAGTCGATAACGAGTAGGAACGTAATAGTGTCACCATATGAAAGGAAAATTAAATGTTTCCTTAAGTTGGTATGCCACGCGTCTTAAACTTAATATCAAATTAACCGTAAAGAGATACACCTTCCATATTGTCTGTAGACATTTGGTATATTAATTAAATATCGTGCGCAGCCATCATTTATGTTTTATAAATTATAACTTCAACAAATCCAGTTACAACATAATGTGTGTTTATATTACGGTAAATGTTGTGTTTATATATTGACTTATTTGTGCCGTTGATTTTAATATTGGAATACATTGACCCATCATCAAACTTAAAGGTAAGGAGAATATTGTTTGTGTTAACATGTTTTTATGAGTTTTATCGATATTTTAATTTTTAAGCAATGCATTTGTATGAAATTGTAAATGAAGTATGTAGTTACTTATTATAAGTGTTGCAAATAGAATTTATGAGTAAAAATACATTGTCTCGACGAATAACCCCCAAAAAGTTTGTGGTCTTGTTATGTCTATGATTGATACTATTGACATCTATTATCTGTACACTTCAAAATTGAACCTGTATAATTATAACTGTTGTCTACCAAATTGAAATTAAAAATGACTTCCAAACAATGTGACCTACAAAATTATAAGATACAATAAGTAAATTTGTTTCTGTTATATCATTTAAAATTCAGTGGGAATAAGAAAAAAATGACTAAAAACACAATTAAGATCCTTATTTAAAATATTTTACAATTGCGGTAATGTGTTCGTATGTGGCTATGGGTGTTCTCTGATAACATTAATTTATTATTTTGATTGTTGAATATGTTTGATATATTATAGTACAATGAATAAGTAGATTCTGTTATATTATCGTTGAATTGTTTCAACTGAATTAGTAAAACTGAAGAAGTATATACCTACCTACTTAATTGTCCTAATAGTTGAAGATATATATAACGTTAATTGTATTTTACAGTACCTGTTCTACAAAATATTTGATACAATCCTTTGAACAACATAATAGTTTTTCCATACTTCACCATAATACTTTGTATGCAAGTTATTAAACTAATGAACGTGGTGAACCTTTTGTATACAAACCAACTTTAATAGAATTGTGTATTATTTTATAATATATGATTTCTATTTTTTTATAATAGTTCTTTAAATTACTTACTTAGGTAATATAATTAAACTAATAGGTAGACAATTTGAGCTGTATATTAATAATTTATAATGCTTACCTCCAACCTATAAATTGCCTTCCACTCATATGATATTTATTTATTTTATTAGGTATAAAATGTTATACATTTATTGAATTCAGGTACACTTTTTTTTTGTTTGGTATCCTTTTTAAAAGAGTCATTTTATTAGTACTTTTANCAGGGACAACCAAGCAAATAAAAATAGTCAACTAACCAAAGTATGTTTATTTCTTTTTCTAAGACATTTTAATAAAATTCAATTATTTTCATTAGAGTTTTGATTCCCCGATTAAAACCAGAAGCACCAGAAAAATTAAAGAATTAGGTGAGCCGGACCGATTTTATTCCATTAACAGGTAAGATGTAATTTTGTTTTTATAATTTATATATTTCTTCTTTTTGTAAATTTTTCTCTAGAAATGGATACTACTTTATCTGTTATTTAGTGTGTATCTTTTCCTCTTATCTTATTTGTCGGACATTTTTAGTGGATCTCTCTGAAACAAATGAGTTCAATGTTGGGAGCTAAGGAAGCTGAAACGAATAAAAACCAAGCAGCACTACGAGCCAAGGAATCTGAACTTTGAGCCAAAGAAGCTGAAATACGTGCAAAAGAATTGAGACACTTAAAGCTAAATAAGCTGAAATACAAATGGCCTAAGAAATTGAAATTCAAAGAGTAAAGAAATCAGAGATTCAGAAGGCTATAGAGATCTAAGTGAAGGAAACAGAAGCAGAGATTTATGGAAAAAATAGAAGAGTTGCAGAGAAGAAGAGACAAGGAAAATTAAAGAAGTTAAGGATTAAAGAAGAGCCATTGAAAACTGCAGTAATACTCAAATAAAAAAGAAAAGAAGAAAATAGAACTTAAATGAAAGAATCCGAGTTAAAGGAACAAAAAGATTTGGAATTCAGAGAGGCTGAAATGATAAGAAAATCTCAGGTGGTTAAAATTAAAGCTAAAGAGAAAGATATGGGAAAGGAAATTAAAGAAACTCAAGACAAATTACCAAAAGAAAATGCTTTTTGGGATTTTGATAATAAAACTAAACAACTTGGACAGGTATCTTTTGAAAAAGAAACTAATAATGTTAATAAAATGGAAATTGATAAACAAAAGCGGAAAAAGCAAAAATCAAACAATGCTAGAAAAGCAACTACAAATAAGTATGATAAGCAAGTAAATTTAGTTTCAAAATCAAAAAAAATATGTAAAGATATAGAAGATTGTAGTAAAAGCCCAAGTAAAAGTATTAAAAAGAACAGCATTCAACATAAAGTTGGTTTTAATTACAGAACTCGATTTTCATCATTAATTAAAATTGGTAAAAAAGAGAAAAATAAGTCTAAATTTCCCCGGAAATCTAAATTTACGGAAATTGGATCTACTTTGAAATCAACTAAAAAAAAACTTGATCTCAAAATGTAAGTAGATATAAGTTATTATCATACGATTTAATTAATAATATCACATCTATACAATTGTAGTGCAAAGAATGAAGAAAAGTTACAAAACAAAATTCATGTTGGTGAAAAACAAGCTGATGGAAGGCGTCTCAAGAAACAAAGACAAAAACCTAGAACTGATATAGAAAATGAAATACTTCAACAGTTTAAAAAGTATGACAAAAATTATTCTTGACCTTTTATATAACTGCTTTTTAAGATGTATGAGTTTGATGACAAAAATGTGATAAAGTTAATCTGAATCCTATGTCAGATCATGGGTTCTTCAATGAGAAAATTATATATAATTGAAATACCAACTATAGATAACACAATTCTTATGTTTATCATAAAGATAATTATGAGTTGAAAAGATTAGCAAATAGTTGTTTAATTAGTGTGTATTATGTGAATTATTTATTAATCTGTTCAACTCATTATCTTTAAAACAAACTTATTAATTGTGTTATCTGTATTTGTTATAACAATGATATACAATGTTCTTGTCCATGATCTAATGATTTTACTGGTGTATAGTTTTAACACAGAACTGATCTGAATTTTGATTCAGATTAACCATATCACATTTTGTCATCAATATTACCATATTGCCATTGGTCTTCTTTTAACCGGTATATTCAAAAATCGTATTGATCTTAATGGCTTTTAAATTAATAACTACCTTTTTAATGACTCCTGTGTTACAATACTCTATTAGTAGAACTTTTACAGAAAGAGATATATGATAACATAATTCATTGTAATCTAACCTCAACATCTCCTCAATAGTGAAAGTTAAAAATGATTACATAGGTACAAATAAATAACGTAAACAATAAAGTTTAATCTGGCATTTCGCCATATTAGTTTCATAAAATTCCCTTTTGTGGTTCAGCTGTTGGAGGTCCATCAATTTCCTATTTGCCATTTATACTTAACTCTGCCTTTTGGTCATCTTCTGTATTCTTTACAACAATAAGGTTTTTTCTATTTCTCCTAATTGTGCTACCTTTCTCGTTTTCAATTAGGTGTATCTGCTATTTCTTTGATGATAGCCCTCTTCTTTGAATCCATTACCCATACAGTTGTTCCAATGTCCAGTTCTTGCAACTCCTTAACTCCATGATGTCTGTTATAATTTTTCTCCATTGTGGACTTCTTTATTTTTTTTGTTTAACTACTTGGTTCCTATTTGGTTTGGATGGTTCCAGATTCTCTGAAATCTTAGGTACCATACTTTTAAGTTGTCTTCTTTAAACTGGGGTGTAGACAGGTAATTTAATAGTACTGAGTATTGGTCCTTTGGCTTCTTTAATGCCATTTTTACTGTTGGCGCTACGAATCCATTAATTGTTGATGTTTGTGACATGATGTTGATAAATATGCAGATAAATCACTTGATACATCTTCAACTATTTGATGTCAATAACTGTCCCCAAACCTAAACATTTGATTTTTTTAACAAGCTATATATAATAGATTTAGAATATTTGCAAGGTTAAGAATAATCTTTCCAATGAAGTTAATCATACCTAGTAACCTTAGAACAGTTATATCTTTAGTTATTTCCATTTTGTTAATGACATCTACTTTACTAGGGTCTGGTAAAATTGTGTTTTATTGCAACATATGTCCCAAATATGTGATTTCTGTAGTACGAATAATAAATTAAAATTAAGTGAACAACAACAATTTAGTTAACATTTCCTTTGATCAAATTTTTAGAAGAATATATTTTTCCCCTTTATAAAATAAAACCAGTTTGTTAATTATTATTTGTTCAAATTTTCAGCATTTCACAGGATACTGTTTTGAGCAAAACTGTTTTGGAAATAATCCTGAATAAATTGAGTGACAAGTATTTGAAAAGAATTGAAATGCCTGGTAAAAATTTGTTTGAAGAGTCTTCGCCATTAGACAAAAAGTAATATATTTTAAAAATACCTAAACAAAATAAAAAATATTAAATTTTCAAATGATAATATCTGATAAATATAATATGGTTATTATAATGAATAGTAAATCTGTGGTAGATTGCATGAAAACCATTCATAGTTCAGTATGTTCAGTATGTTAATTTTTCAACCTATTTAACTAAAAAATGTATTTTCAAAAACATACTCTAAAATTTGAAAAATAATTCCATTCAATCATTACTTTTTCTTTCTCTTGAAACTTTTATTATTTTTTAAATTTTGAGTGTAATTTATGTTAAAATATTTAATTTGTCATTCTTTCTAACTCTTAAAAATAATAATTTTAATGTATATTATGATATTTTTAAAAAATCTTTGTGTAGTTAATTTATTCCTGGGAGTCAACGAATAAATTAACTACAATTTTGTATAATTGAAATATTGAAATATTTTTATTTTATGATAAAATAAATCAATATTTTTTAACTCCAAAGCAAACTAAAGGTTTTTATAATTTTGTTCATTGTTTGAAAAATAGGGAATATTAACCTAATTCAACCAACATTCCTAACTTTATATGTTATACCTATTAAAATATAGTCTGACTGTTTGTGTGTGTGTGTGTGTGTGTGTGTGTGTCCATGTTATACCGTAACATTATAATCAACTTAAATTTTTGGAAAACTATCATAGATTATTTTGAAACTGTTCCCAAATAATTTTTGACTGAAAAATAAATCAACCAATTCTGTATAGCATAAAATATTTTAAATAATAACCTAATATGGTAATAAAATTTATATGAAAGTTTGATTTGTTTATATTATTAATAAAAGTATTTATTTATTATTTGACAATTTTATTTATTTAAAAGCTTTAAAATAAGTATTTTTTTCAGTTCATCGAGTTTTAATTGACTTATTTCATTACACAATCAAAAACACCGACCAAGAATATTTTTAGTTTGTGCTCAAGGATTGAAATTATATTCCATTAAAGTATAATGAAATATATAATTTTTTTGAAAAAAAATAGAATGACACATCTTAATGCTGGTCAAACAATAATTCTTTAAAACAAATTACACATTTAGAATATCTTTATTGTCTATTTCAATGGAAATTAAATGAAAATCTAATACCCTATAACCATATTTTCTAAACTTTTGTTTATTTTCTTCTCTTTTGGTGTCTTATTTTGAAAATTTAGATGTAATATTGGGAAATATTTCCATTTTATAGAAGAGTAAATATTAAATACAAGTTAATAATGAACATATGAATGATAATTGCCAATTTATGTATGATGGCTACTATTGCTATTGACCTACAAAATATATACATATATGTATATTTATACGTATATATTTGTATGTATATATATATATTTATATTAACAAAATTAAATCAACACAAATAAAAATGATCTAAAAATATCAATATTTATCCTCCCAAATTATAACTCAATATTACCAAATTTGTGTTACATGGTTTTCTTGTGACATAATTCTAGAAGTATATTTATAATTAATTGTTCTTTTTTTTTTTTCTTTAGTCCAGTTACTTTAACAGATATAAGGAATCAAATAAATACAGGACAAATAAAAACTTTTGAAGAACTTCACTTAAAAGTTCTTTTAATGACACAAAAAGCTGGTGTTATTAATAGCATTAACAGTAAAGAAGAGAAAATAATAACAGATTTTAAGGAACCAAAATATGATTGTTTTGATTATTCTTTAGTATGTGATGTATTAAAATATTTTTGTTGTAGATTTTAATTTAATTTTTTTTTTTTTTTGGCNGGACAAATAAAAACTTTTGAAGAACTTCACTTAAAAGTTCTTTTAATGACATTGAAAGCTTGTGTTATTAATAGCATTAACAGTAAAGAACAGAAAATAATAAAAGATTTTAAGGAACCAAAATATGATTGTTTTGATTATTCTTTAGTATGTGATGTATTAAAGTATTTTTGTTGTAGATTTTAATTTAATTTTTTTTTTTTGGCATTTAGAAAGTAGAGACTGCAGATGCTGCAAATAAAGAGGATAAAAAGAACTTAATGAATACTGTCGATATTTCAATGCTAAACATTCACTTTGTTAACAAATCAATAAGTACAATATACGTGCAGGGATTGCGCGCTTTTGGATGAAAATGATGACATCTCTAGAAATTATTACAATCAATTCCAAATCATGAATTTATAAAAATTTATCTGATGATCATTAAAAACGTATTGATGAATTTAATTATTTTTCTTATACAACATTGGCACCAAAAGAAAAATTAGAGGAAGAAAATTAATTAACATTTTTTTGCTGTTTCAATGTATTAAATTATAATAATAACAGTATATTTGTATGGTGTACATATTTGTTCTAATTGTATAATTTTCTAGGTGTTTAATTATCTTAATTGCCCTTCATAATTTTTATGAAAGTATTTTTTAAAAATTCTTAACTTAATTGTATTTAGTTCATTCTTGAACCACCAGAGATGACCTAAAAGAGCGGGTGGTCTACTAAAAAATGTAATGTATATTTTCTCAACAATTTTGAATATAGGGTTTCCCCATATCACATAGATACTAATCTATACTTTTGTTTCTTTGGTTATAATTTCACTTCACCTATTTGTAATGAAATTTCTCTGATTTTTTAAATGTTAAAAACATTTTTAAATAAATTTTCAGTAAATAATTTGAGTTTTTTTTTTAATTGTAAATTGAGGGTTATGCAAAAAATTCTATGATAACAATGGCCAATACATTTGTTAAATATTTTAAATAATTTGTGACACTTTTAGTGTTGATTTTATGTGATTGAAATGTCAAAATATTTTGTTGGAACCCTATTTCATGGGGAAATAAATTATAATTGTCAGAAAATAATTCTTACACATAAAACATTACACATTTTGGGTGTTTTTGCTACCGTAGGTTGTCATTAATTATAAATTATTCTTCTACAAGTAACTTACCAATATAATATTTTTTTGATAAAATACAGGTGGGACGAAATATAGTTCCTTATAGTTCTTCTAGTATTTATTTGCTATTTATAATTTAAGTGTACACATAATTATTTTAAAATTAAATTATAATGTTTTTTTTAAACATAAAACATTTGATTAATTTAGATTTAAGCCTCTT